GTCTGGCTCTTCTGCTTGCATTAGATACACAGCATTAGCTCCTCAACCATCAGACAGCCCCTCACCAGAGCTGTTTTGCTGTTTGACAGCTCTCTCGGTGTTTGCCTGGTGCTTCTGGCCAAGGTAGGCATGGACAAGTCACCTGCAGATCCCTCCCTGCACTCTTCCTCTCCTCTTGGTCTTGATGCATCAAGCCAAAGCTCAGGTTGCGCTGTAGCTGCTACTAGGCACCCACACAGTCTCCATTTATTCATCTTCTTTGAACCTGCAAAGCAAATGGTGGGGTGGAAATGGAGACATTTGCCTCTCAGGTTCCACTCACGACCCTGCTAGCCTCCTCCTCCTCTTCATCCCACAGCAAGTGCAATGTTTTGTGGCAGATCCAGCCAACAGGCCATGTCCCAAGGGCTGGGTGAAGTCAACAGGGCTGTGGATAGGCAGGACCTGGATGGAAGAGGGACCTGCGCCCTGGGCCACCGCTGAGCCTGGCCAGCCGCAACTTATGCGTGGCTACAGTTGCCTGTTCCTGGTGGCCCCCTGTTCCTGAAGGGAGATTTTGTGGGCAGGCCAGGGCTGTCTGGCCACAGGTGGCAGGTCTCCTATGGACAGTCACTTCAGCTCAGCATCATCTGCCTAGCCAGGAGGCAGGATGAGCGCTCACCAGTGCTTCTTTAGCTGCCTCTCTTCTCCCTTCTCCTGACAAGCTCAGAAGTGCAGTCAAGGTGGCAAATTAGCACCAGAGCCTCATTAACTGGCAGGCAGGAGCCTTCCCCTGCTGGTTGGGTTGTCGTCAGCTGCTTCAGTACATTTGCAGTTTCTCCTGGTTTCGTTCTATTTTCTCCCTTTTCCAACAGTGGGCTGGGTTTTTGCTTCCTGATCCGTCTCTTCTGTCGTCTCTTTCAAAGCTGTTGAGGGCTCTCATCCACCCACACCTCGCTCCCTGGGGTTCCCTCTCTGGAGAGGATCTACAGAGCTTGCAGTAAATGGCCACTTCTTGGGGAGCATGGAGGGACAATTAAGGGGCTCTCAAATCGCTGCTGACCTTGGCCACCTCCTCCCCGCTCCTCCACCGCTGCATCCCACTGGCAGCTCTCAGCAAGAGAGGAGAGCTCCAGAGGGCACATGGCAGACGGCGACGTGGCAACGGGGGCGGCATCGGTGTCTCTAACATGAGAGCTCATGGCCCACAGCGGCGGGCAGGGGGCCCAGCCGCCCCTCCTGCCCCAGACCAGAGCCCGGGGGGGACTCAAGCACAGGCACCCTGGCA